TGGCAAGCTGAGACAGCGGAGCCCCCTCCAGGGAAGTATCCCCGATGTTATGAACAAAACAGCCTTGCTGGGACACTTGGCTCAACTAAGTACTGACATTGAAATGTTAATTAGCTAATTGCTCCTGGGAATCACCTACAACCCCACCCACACTAGGACCGGGATGCAAAATAGACCAGTGGAATCATGGGAGGGGGTTTTGGGGATGAAAACACCCCTAAATGGAAAGCTGAGCACAGTGGAGGGGGCTGGATGGGTGTGCTGGTTGGGGAAGAGGGAACCACATCTCTAGTCTGTGTTTGACCTGTCACCATACCCTGCAGAGGACCAGACTGGACTGGGCTGTGGGAAGCAGGAGCAAAGTAGGAACTCTTCCTGGTGTTACTAGGAGGGAAGGAGAGGGGATAGCTGCTGCTGGACTTCAGCAGCAGGCTCTGCACATCCCCTCACCCTTTGGCTACCAGTATGCCAGGAGGAAAGGAGAGAGGACGGTCTGCTGGGACTTCAGATACAGGCTACACACCTCTTCACCTCCAGCTACCAGTGTACCAGGGAGACTCCAGGGACAGACTCTGCACGCCTTCTCACCCTTCGGCTACCGTGAAAAGCTCTAACAGTGGGAGTGAGCTCCATGTCAAGCCCCCTGCCTAGCTGATCTTTTTTACAAAGAACTGAACATTAATAAAGGCATAGACCCTGTTCATTTCACCCGGGGTGCACCAAGGAGGTCCACTCCCCCCCTATCCCCGTGAAAACAGGGGCCCTCCTACCTGGCTCCACCAAAATGAATTGTGGTGAAAATCAAGACCCCACAATTTCAATAAAGATTTGTAGGGACGGTATGTTTTTATTACAGCACTGGGTGCACGAAGGAATTCCCGATCCTTTTTATTATTCCGTACTAATTTACATATACATAGAATCTCAAACTAGATTCATGCATATTCATTTTGCTGATTTTGCATTACAATTTACAGTTGGCCCTTTGTACAGAGAATTCTCTAATCCCTTTGTGTCACTGTGCCTTCCCAAGTCTCAGCTAGCACTAGTGGCTTTGCCGGGATTAGAACCCAGGCCGCCTGTGTGGCAGGTGAAAATTCTACTGCTGAGCCACCAGGGCTGTTGCTAGGTTACCAAGTCTTGGCTAGCCCAGAACCTTTAGCACTGCGGCAGCAAAGGCCACTCTCATGTGCCGCTGTGGGCACGAGGTATGGCCAGGGGGAAGACGAAGCCACCAGACTGAAAGACATGCAGAGCGACTCTGAAAAAAGCAAGGAGCCGTCCTTCTGGGGGTATCTGTGTTCCGAGTTTATTGGCTCGAAGGAAGATAAGCTCCAAAAGACGATGGGCACAGTGTGCCCTGCTTGTTAAAGGGGGGTGGTAACAAGAGGAGGAAACAGCAGCCAACCAATGGGATAACACCTGGGGGTGGTAACAGGAGTGACACACAGGGGAAACTTCCAATGAGGTAGGAGGGAGGGAGGGGACCCCAGAGACCAGATTATCACTTGAAGCCCTGGATGGAACTTTCTAGGTGGAAGGGAGAGGTCTCTGAGAGACAGGCAGGCTCCGGGGTGGGGCTGGGGGGGGATAACTCAGCAGGAATACAATGAACTGGGTGGAGGGAGGAATGACAGGCAGACGGAGGAGGGAGGAGAAGGAAGGCTGGACCATTTTACAAAAAGAGAGGGACAGGGAGTAACCATAACTGGGGGGAAAGTTAAAACACACTCCAACACCTTTGTCCATTTTTTTGCAGACTTAACTTTGTTGGGGTTTTTTTCCTTAGTTTCAGAGTTCAAGGGGCCCCTCTTAGCTCTTCACCTTGGAGATTGCATTCTTTGCTTCTTGGCTGGGACAGTTTTACATGCACAGCAGAGTTAACAGACTAAACAGCATATTTCACTCATGTTAGCAAGCTACTACGCAGTACATTTCACCTAAATCCAGATGGATTTTCTACCCCGTTAAATTTTACTCTGTTTCAGTGCAACTCATCATATTCTGTTGTCTTCTTACAATAACTTGCATCCCTGAATTTCCACCATTTCTGCCATATTGTATGCTATGGGAACTATATTATAGCACTGCAGGGGGGTTGAACTAAACTTCCATTTATGATTTAAATAAAGTTGAAATAATTTTTCTTCCAAATTCATTAGTATTGCAATCTAAAGTATTTAATTATAGAAACCCCAAAACAATTCAAATGTCAAATGTTTGTAACAGGAAAACAAATTTATTTATTTCAGAAGACAATACACTATTTTATTTTGAAAAACACAAGAAAACTAGCCTGAGTTCAAGTCTGAAATATTCAGAAAAATCCTACTGTCTTTTGCATGTTCCAGCCATTATTTTTAAAAACAACACACTAGAAGTTAATATATATTTTTAGAATTATAAAATTTTCTAGTTATTGTACAGTACACAATACAAATTTCCCACAAACTATTATTCAGCTCCTGCCAGTTTTGAGAGGACATGATATACTAAAAGATTTAGCATTTCTCACAAAAAAAAAGTCACATCAGGAAATACATATTTACAAAATCAAACACATTATACAAAAAACCCTATCAAATTATTCTGTAAAAAGGTTTTCCTTAAATAATTTAAAAGTGTGTTCAAAAAATTAAAAAAATGCAAAACTACATTATGTCACATGCACCTTTTACAAAAAAGTTGCTTTCTTAATTTACATTATGTATGCAGTAAATAGGAAAACAAAAGTTCAGTTTCTCCTAGTGTTATTACATTTCTGTGCCCGTGGTACTGAATAATGTAAACTGCCACTTACTAAGTGAAATCTGAAGGATGGCACCTTAAAAAATACAGTAGAAAATAAATGGAACCAAGTAAGTTTTCTAGAAGCTAAGAAAGCCCTGAGTGACGACAGAATTATTGACTGGAAAACTCTAGAATTAACCTAATTACAGTTTAGCACCTGAGGCAAAATTTCCTAAGTGTTTGAAAGGCACTCAAAGTTTATTCAATAGCCTCATTGGTTATTACTGTAAATCCAAATTTTCAGTGAGGATGAGAAACTTGCTTTGGTGCATAATTATATATTATTTGTTGCATTTAAATTGGTTTATTGGGTATCTTCAATATGATATTTAATGTTTAAATACAGAACAATCACTTTAACAATGTATTTGAGAACCCTTTAGTATTCTTTGTGTAAAAAAAAACTAAAAGAAAAAGACCCTCTTATCAGCGAGTCAAAAGATAATGGATAATATACCTATTGAACCCAAATCAAGGGACATTATCCCTCTGCAGCCTTAATTATTTTAAAATATTTATTATTTTAAAGTTCACCCAGTGCTGAAAATTCTTGAAGACATTTGAAACATGATCAAGGAAGCACTTAAGAACATAAGAGCCTTTCCCTCATTCTGATTTAAGTGAGGGTAATTTTGATGCTCATAGTTTTGTTATGGACTTTTTTCTCTATGGTGAGTTTCAGGCTTACAGATCAATTTACAAGAAAAATTCTTACAAAAAATTTAATTACTCAGGGCTTCCAGTCCCAAAATTTTAATTTCTGAGTTTCTTTTTTAAAAGAAAAAAAAAAAAATCAGAATAAACCACAAAAGTTTAAATTATCAAACTAAGGCATATTTTCCTCAAACAAAAACTAGGCAGTCACTTTGTAAGTGGCTTTTACTCTTGAGTAAAATGGGTAAACTGCAGTTAGGTCTGCTTACATTTAAAATCACTAGAAGCAATGTTCAAGGCAGGCAAACTGGGGAGCATTTACAATAAATTATGAATAAAAGTTTGTTAAACCCCTTTGAGTATTGCATTATAATTATGCATGAATTTGCATTAACTTACTATAAATCTTTGCAACTTACTTGCACTATATTAGTGATGTAATTCCACTAAATGTAATGAGACTTTTTTTCACTCAGCTAGATTTGAATAAAATACATTTGTGCCTACTGTTGTTGATTTCTTCTGCCATCAACCAGTAGAAAAGCTAAGTAAGGTGGTATTTCTATCTATAATTTTCAAAAACTCTCAACTCACTTCTGAACTTGTTCCCTTGTTCTGGCGAGTATTACTTGTAAGAACAAAGGACTTTTCAGCACAGCAGAAGGCAGGTGCAATTTCTAGGGTTTGGTTTTTATTTCTTTCTAAATTCTTATGTTCAAGAAGTCATACAAACTGCATCCCTGTAGAGGAAGCTGAATCTAGTACCACTGTCTTTCCATTAGTTCATATCACAGTGACTGACTGCTAAAAGTAATATGAATACAATGTCCTTTTTGTCTATTTATCAGATAGACTACAGACAATTTGATTGCAAACATACCAAGGGTTCTGTAAAATTAATTCTCTTGTTAATTAAGTAGTTTTGGTTTTATTTGTGAAGATTTTAATTTACAGTATTAAAGTATTTTAATATTACCCTAAAGATATTTCCAAAAGAGTACAAATATTTTTTGTAAACATCCATATTGTAAAGGAGTCTTAAACAACCTATGACTGTAGAGTCAAATATTTTATTTCTTCAGATATTTATGCAATTATGAAAAGAAAATAGCAGAAATAGTTTTGCACCATACAGCACATATTGGTGGCAGTGAATAATTTCACCTAAATCTATTAAGCCTTTTGAAACAAAAACATTTCTGCTTACCATGCAAATATTTAATCTAGAAATTAAAAAAAAAAAAAATCTGCAGGACAATCAGTTACTTAAATATATAGAATATTTTCAGTGGTCTAATTAAATTACCTAAAAAGTGTATCCTCACAATGCTCAAAGGGTTAATGCAAGGCATTACATTAATTTTCTAAGGCTAAAACTAAGTACTTTGTATTTATTCTTCTATTCCTGCTTTTTATTTTTTTAATACCAAAGTAGCAAAGATACTAGAATACCATTCATTGACCTATTTTTAAACCACAGACATGATAGTTTTCCTTTTCTACAGAGACAAAAGAATGTTTTAAACTCTGAAATAACTGTCACAAAGTACAAAAAATACGTTATTTACAAAGTTTATTTTTCACCTTTTTTTTTCCCATGACTATAAAAGGTTATTTCATTTTGTAAAACCACTCTGTAAAGTAAGCTAGATTGCAATGTAGTGCTAACTAATATAAATGTCTTTCTAAACAATGCTGATATAATTTGGTGAGAATCACAAATATATCAGGTCAGGTCTTCCCCCATGGAAAATATTTTGAACAGAAGCAGTATTTCAGACATTTAAAAATGCTTCAGTTTAAACTGAAATGTTTTATAAAGCTATACATTCCTCAGTGACAGTACACCAGCACAATATTTTACACATTTGTGAACTAAAGGCAGAAATGCTGTACATCATAATTTTGAAAGTAAACAATATGATCCATTTTTTTTAACGGAACATTAAAAAAAAGATGCACAAAGCATGCTACAGTAAAATAATAAAACACAGAAGCAGATAACTGAAAAGAGGGGACTTTTAAAAAACTGATTTACAATGAGAAATATGAAAGTGAAAATTGGGCCCCATATTTTGAAAAAGTAATTCAACAACACCCATTCCCATTCTGCCACAGTGTTTACTAAGTAATTTGTACCAATGGGGGAAGCGACTCTAAAATATATTTTTAATTTCACATCAAGATTGGGTAAAATCCACAAATGATATGAGACCTTATCTTGTAGTGTCTAGTCAGTAAATGCTTGCTACAGCTCTTTAGAGCTCTAAAGAGTTAAACAGGCTTCAGAGTGGCAATTCAGCCACATGCTACACACTACATAATTTGGAGTGAGGTATCCATATTTCTGTGCTCAAATCATTAACAATACCCATCTATTAACAAATATCAAAAGTCTTTAAATTGTTTCATGTGTGTATGTTTGATCTAAATTCCAGTAAATTTAAAAGCAAAGCACAGCAGCTTACAACAACTTAATTATTTCAAATAATTGTTAAAGTGGGGAAAATATTACTTAAAAATTTGAGAGAACAATCAGTTGATAAACATAGAAATACAAACTTAATTCAGTTTTCTGAATTACGAATAATTTAAATTTGTTTTGCTAACTGCTATTAGAATCCATTATATGCATTCTATCTTTGTATGCATATATTTTGTTTTCTTTTTGCAATACATGAACAGTGATTAACTGTTCAGAAGATGTTGAGGTCCCACCTCTTCTTAGCAATCTAGATTTACATGTTAAAACCATACTTTTCTTTCAGCAGCAACAAATCCAACATTCTACCAATAAAAAATATTTAAAGTTTGTCAACACAAAATTTGAAACCAGGCAATAGGGACTATCAGTACAGCATAGGGCACCCTATTTTAAGAATGAAAAATTATGAATATTCAACTATATTTTATTTTTAAAAATATTATAATGCAAAATAAAAGGGAGTAAATATTTATCATAGGTTAGTTTTTAGGATTTTTGGTGAAGGGTGCTGATTCCTAAGTGAAAAAACGCAGAATGCAGTGATATTTGGGAGAACATAACCTATGAGGATTCAGTGCACAGGTGAATTTAGAGAGAAATTAATACAAACCTCATTTGCACTTTTTGCTGAGACAAAAAACATCTACAGACATAAATAGGAATCGTGCCTTCATAGAATGGAGCAGGATGGGCTTGCCTCCAAATTTTGCTAAGAAATTTACAAATAATTTTGTACCCCAAAAAGTATTAAGCCATCTTAGTTGATCTATAACCATTCTTGATACATCTTAAAGCTCTAGCAACAAATTTCTTTGCTAAAAATACACTGTTCATGTCACATGCTATTCACTCATTTGGTATATATGACTTTAAAAAAATATCCATCCACAGTCACACTAGAAAAAACAAGAGACTCCATTTTTAATGCAATCCTTTCTATAAAATTACTTTTGCTATTATTTCTTTCACTTTTTTGCTTTTATTGAATTATTTTCAATATTTTAGCTTCGCAAATTTATGTCTGCTTTAAAAATAATGAAAATGCTTAAGATAATCAGAAAAAAATCAGAGATGTTTAATGTCAATTATTATGGACTGTATAAACTATCACTATAAAATATAATCATTAAAACATAGCATCAGACTGACACCCTACCACATATGCAAATTGAAAATATGTGCTGCATTATATACCTGCTTATTTATTTAGTCTGACTTTTTAAAAATCTGACAAGAGCTTAAAATATATAACCATGCTTATGACTATAGTCCATTTACTTTAACAAGATTTGAAGTTGGCATTAAAACTACTTTTGTTTTTCAAGTTCTCAAGCAAATTTTATTTGTAATAAAGTGAAATTCAACTAGAAACAAGAAAAAATATTTTTAACATCAATTTTAGGAGGAATATAAATATAACTTAATAATAAAACCCTCTTTATTTCTTTGAAGACTATGTAACCTGCCCCTAATACATAAGAAATTTGAAAGTGACAGGCACACCTTGTTGAATAAATTTTAAGAGCTATTAAAAATAACAAAAAATACTAATTCTTAGTTTCATTTCTGTTTAAGGCACCATGTAATAGCCGAGGTACAATGATCCCTGATGTAAATTCTTAAATAGCAATGATCCATCTAGCCACCTATTAAAATGTAATGCAGTTGGGAATAAGTACAAGGGAGGTGTGCCAGTTACACTACCTTAGAAAGTTTTTGTAAAAAATTAAATTAACTTTATTAATCAGGAAATACATTTAAAAAAAAAAATGATGCAGGTTGGTACATTTCTTACATGCTATAAATTATCATTTATAAAAGCAGCAAATTAAACTAGTAGGAACAGGCCTAGAGTAGAAGAAAGTCATCCAAAAGGAATGTTTTCCTGTATGTCCAGTTCAACATAAGTAGCATGTACACTTTAAAAAAAAAAACAAGTTACTTCTATTGTGGTTTAGTCTCTATTAACTACAGTACCATTTGACAACCAGACGTATCTTTGCAGTGGTCTCAAAATAGAATCAGTGGTCTTCAAAACCAGAGGAATTGGGATGCAAATATAATCCAGAGCTGTTGATTTTAAAGGAAGCTTGTATTGTTTACATGTGTTCAGATAATTAGGTGTGCCTACAGTGTACACATTACCACATTGTTACAATTCTATCACTTATTCTGCATTTGTAAATGCAGTGAAAACACTCCTTCCTTACATAAAGAAAACAGTAGATCTTCCCAACCCTCCAACATTATGATAAAAATACCACCTGAATGTTCACACTTTCATGAAAATAGTGCTTTCTGTTCAATGAAAAGCACCTTTTATAACAAATTTGATGCATATACTGTCAAATGAGTTTGCATCCGGTATGTCAAAGAAAGTATTTCTTTTAATATTTTGCATCTAATTAAAAATCTATGTATATGAAATCATTATGACAAATAATTAACATTAAAATATATTTAAACTATGAAAAAAAGTTATTTTAATTTTAAGAGGAAAAAAGCATTAACATTAAAAGCTTGACAAAAGTCTTCATTGACACTTGAAACTACAAAAACTCAATATTGAATAACCAATGTAAAATGATTTTGCTTGCAATTTTTTTAAACATCTGACAAAATGCATACACCCATTTTATTTCACAATTCCAATAAAAGGTAATGTTCAGCACAGCTAAAATTTGATAAGACACCTTTCAGACCTATTCTCCTACCTCCCCCATTAAGACCAGCATCAACAAGGCTAATGCAGTTGAGGGGCACTTCTATATTAGACTGCAGTATATGTATTTCCAGAAGCACTGCATTGTCTGATAGTCTGAGTATTTGTAACAATGTGCTCATTATGAATTGGGTTCAGGAGGCTCTGCTCTATTCCACTCTCAAGCACTGGCTGCTGCAAGCAGCCCACCTGAAATGCTTGGTTTAAGTCTGTTTTCTCCCTCTTGGCTTGTGGCTCTCCATTTTCATCCATCTCTTCTTCTATTTCACTTTCAACTTCAGTGCCCTCATCTGCAAACACAAAAAAGAAAAGAAAAAAAGAAAAGAAAAGAAAAAAATATCACAAAGGGAAAAAATCTGAATAGAAAGGCCTTCATTTTGAACATAACATAAAATATGAAAACACAGGAAAGGTTAATAACCAATCATATCTTCCTTCTTCCAGCTGTCCATCCCCTTCAGCTCTCTCACCAGAATATGTAATTAAATTTTGAAAATTTCTTGTGTAAATAATAGACATTTAAAAAAATTTAACTATTTAGGCCCTAGAGTATTCTAGTCCTTATTATATACTATATGTATAGCATATTGTACCCATATAATAGTAATATTCACATAATTTAAATTATGATGTAGCTTTCGATTCCACTTAACTATATTTTCAAAAATAAAAACTTGTTTTTCTCAAAGAGACAGCTTAATTTTATATAAAATTATACATTTGGGAGTGCTTACCTTTATCCATATTTCCAGGGGATATAGCATTTAAATCACCAAACTGCAAAATAAACAATAAAAAGTGTGCACACAGTCCTACACAAACATGACCTTAGATTATCTATGGTAAAGCCAGTAGTATGCTCTAATGGCTTGTGGCTAGTATGAAAGTGCATGCATTTGACTGCAGTCACATCCATAGTATACCATTTCATTTTCCATTCCATTATATGTGTCCATATTAAGGAAATTAAAATGAAATATTGTCAGCAATTAAAACAATAGGATATAAACTTAAGCATATGTTTCTGCATTTTTTAGGGTGACATGTCAAGGCCTTTGTTGCTTTGAGTGTGATATTTCTGATGTAGAATGCTGGAAAATATGACCGGTGTCCACTTTTAAACTGCAATGCTTTAACCAAAAGTTTGCTTAAAAGTTCTTCTGAAATGGTGTGCCACTAAAGGCAGTTATAATGTAGCAAAACTATACATAGGGTAAATAAATAGCACCACTGAAAATAGGGTTGATGGCTATTATTCCTCCCTCTCTTTGTCTGAGTCCTTTACCATTCTCTTAAATGAGAAGCTGCAGAGTATAATTTGATTAGTTAATCTCAAATAAAAGGAGTGCAATATTTAAATAAATATATTTATAAACATACCTGATTCAGTCCTTTTCAGAAATACAGAAAGATAAAACTTCAGTGAACACTAAACCAGCATAAGCAGCAGCAGTCCTATCTTTCCAGGTTCCCACACATATACTTCCTCTTCACCTTCCCATACCTATCCTTTCACCTTAAGTCTTCCACATGGCCATGCAAAGAACCACATGACAGAACTAACCCAATAAAAATAACCCAAGGGATTATTTTGGACAGGATTAATTCTCTGATCCAGTTAACCACAGGACTGTCTGAGTACTTGTGCCAGCATCAATCTACAAATCTAAGGGGATGGGAGGGGAGGAAACTGTTTTTCTCAGCTGTAAAGACAGTTCATAAAGGCTTCAAGTGTTTGTCAAACTAGCCTTAGTCTTTCCCATTTTATTTCAGCTAGTCAGTAAATGCAGAGAAACACAAGAAGCCATGCATTTAATGAATGTTTACAACTTCCCTGTTCCCCTCTCATCTCTCAAAACTTTAGATTACATGTTTTCTCACTAAGGTAATATCTGTCTAAAGTTTACCAAAACATTCTAGGAAGTCCCACAGTACACCACAAGCATTACATTTAACATATACTATGTCACTAAAACAAGAATGTAGCAATATTATACTTTTGCAATACTTTGCTATAAATGTAATGGCAGAGCTCAAGTATCTAATCAGAAAGTATTTTTTTTACACGTTAGATTAATCAAACTACAAATTAAGACAAGACTTCCAATCTCTATGAAAATGTACATATTTTTATAATATTTAATTATACTTTTTAATATATCCCGAGGAAAAAATTATATATCAAGTCATGCAAGGTGACTTACAACTTATCAGTAAGATTAAACATTATATAATGATCATCAAGTATAAAAAACATCAAGCTTCAGTCTAGTGAACTATCTATTGTATGTCCACATCCATCTTCTAGAACTTTAAAAGTACAATTCCTTGATGATAACTCCTAAGATAATGTGAATTCTTAATCAACTTACACAAAATCAAAGGTTAGGGGAGCTACTAAAAAAAAAAAAAGAAGAGTGAGGAAAACTTCAGATTGCAAATACCATAAACACATATAAGACATGGTGTTTCTGAATTTATACTTTGCTCTGTTTATTTTAAACAGAATACATTGAAATATAGGCATGAAATTATGCCATGTCCCAATCCTGCAAGTACTTTGGTGCTACTTTCATTTCATTTTGTGTGAAACATGAATGAAGGTATATAACCCAAATTTGAAGATGCCGATGTATTTGCAACTCAATCTACAACAGATTACAAATATTATTTAAAAATATCCCATAGGTCCATGTAAATGTTAAAAAAACCTGAAAATGCATATCTGAATTTATTGCTAAATTCACCAATCCATTTTCTTGTGTATTATCTTACCTCTCCCATAACTGCGATAGGTGTTTCTCCTGTTGCCTGAGCAACACGATGTTCGACTAAGTAAAACATGTACTCATCATAAAGCAAGCGGATCAGATGAAAAGAGCCAAAGCTAGCAGCACTGCGTAAGGTTAAATCTCGAATCACCATTGAGCTATTTAAATGGGGGGGGGGGGGGGGGGGGGGGGGGGAAATATGAAATAAATATCAAAATTCTTTAATAATTTATTCATATGGAATATACACTTCAAGAATAATAAAGTAATGCTATTCAAAACCATCTGATTTATGATGTCTTCAGAAAGAAATGTCTGGGAAAGACAATTATTTGTCTCTCCCCTTTTTTGAAAGCATGGTTAGAGACCATATTACACAACTAGAAGCTAAATTTTCAAAAAGGCAGGAAGGGATTTTTTTGCTGTATGCACAATTACTAATATGTGAGCACATGTAAAAACTGATCTTAGCAAAAGGAAGTTCTTTGTTAAATTTTTAAATAACAAAAATGTATTAAAGTTATTAATTTTAAAAAAAGTTGTCTTTCAAAATATTGTCTTTTGTGCTCCCATTCCTAGTTCAAAGGTTTTAATTAGTATGATTTTTAAACTTGTAAAATTTAGATAAGTTTGTGTATACCTTATAATAGAAAAATGCAGATTGTGGATGAAAACATCCATATGATACTCTCACAAAGTAGATGCTATCATGCACCATTTTGAAAAAAAAAAGGCTTTACTATGATAACTGATACAGTAGCAGATGACATAGAACATTTGTCTTGTTCTTTTTTCACAATAAAAAAAATTGTCCCTAATAATAAAATTAGAACCCATGGTATTTTAATAACTAATATTAAAACATTGGCTTTAAAATTGTATAGCTATTCAATCAAAAATATTTCATAGCATGTTTCCAAATCAGGATAAAATTCTAACCTTGTTACACTTGCACAAGACCTTTAAAACAATATACAAGGACAATTTCATCTGCTGCTGCGATGCACATATCACTGTGTTTAATGTTAAGAACACTGATCTTTTGGGGGGGGGGGAAGCTCTACATTTCTTGGGAACTATTGTCTGATATAACTTTTTTCAACATTATTATGGCATAGTATTGAGTAAATAATAAAATAGCTGAAATAATTTAGAAGAGTACCTGTAGAAAGACCATTTTAAAAGAAATTGCCGTGCTGCTTTAGGAAAGCTGGGTCTTCCTTCATATGGTTTCAATGCTTGCACCATTACATTATCAAGCCAGGCCGCCCACTGCTCTAGAGTGCTCTGCTGCTGAAGAGTCATCTTGAAATCTGTTTCTAGTTTTTGAACCATATTGTCATCACACTGACACACCCAGGAAGCCTGTTCCTGTTATAAAACATGGCAAAAATGAAAGCAAAACACAAAATGTAAATTATACCTAAAGACTGAACAATTAAATTGAAAGGATGAAATATACTTATTAGACAAAATAATGAGTATTTTTATCTTAATGTCTCTCTCAGTTTTGTTGGAAGAAAATGAGAGGAAGAATACAAAGTACAAAAATGGACATCAAATAAAACACACATACAAAATTACAATGAAAATTCATAAATACATTGCAATGTTCCACATTCATTTTCATTAAAGAATTTTCAACTTCCCTCATTTATGATTTTTCTAGTAAAAATTTCAGGAATTGTTAGGCTTGAGACTGCAGGAACAAGGAGTGGAAAGTGCAGTCAAATGTGTGAAAAATGACCAGATAATATTGTCTTTCACATTTGTGTATTAGATTATGTATGTCGTTAGTGATTATAACTATTTAGAAATAGTATAAATTATAACTTTTTTTTAGCTGTTTGTTAATATAATATAATCTATCAGCTTAAGTATGCACTGTGTTGCTCGTAGAAATAGTAGTGTAATTAATATAATATTTATGTATCGCTTATGGAAATACTAGTGTGATTAATGGATTGTATTATAGATCTTAGCAAAACATAAGATGTAAAAAAGGCTTTCGTGTAGCTAAAAACAGTGTAAGGCCATCCACTGACCAACCTGTCCAAGTGATAACCGTGACACAAAACAGAGCATCCGAGGACAATTAGAAAATACCATGTTAAATTTAAGGAGGACATACTAAATCCTTATCAGAGGATGTGAAACAGCAGGATGGAGACATAAGAAGAAATAAAATATATTGACCTGACAGACAGGATGTCATGCAGATAAGCCAGAGTGTGAAGAAGCCAAACAAAGTAGTTCCCAAAACATCAGAAAGTTCGAAAGAATGTTTGAATAATGTATAAAATACATGAATATGCATGTATCTCAGCATACACTTTTGCTTTGAAGGAGTGTCCTGATTCTGGCCAGGAAAGAGTTAATTTTTGCAGCAGCCAGATGGGTTAAGGCCATGACCCTGGGGTTATTCTATATCACCTCATACCATGCACAGGGGGTGATGTGATAGGCCCTATATGGAGCCTGAACCAAAGTTGACCACTGTGTGAACCTTTAAACATATGTACCTTTTCAAAACAACACATGCAATTTTAGGAAAACAGGGGCTTTGTGATTGACATGCCCAGATGCCTGGCCAGCAGATGGGTATGCCAGACCACAAAGTTCCAAAATAAACATCTGATCATGTGCCTTTATACAAGTAACAATATAAGAATGAAACCCCTTTTGTCTTCGTTTGAAAGACAGGTGTCTGCCAAGGACGGTGGGAACCTCCTTTGAAATAGAAAATATGACCCCCTTCCCTCCAAATTATTATAACTTTGAAATTAGGGGGGTTTCAGGAAAAGATATGGGAAAAAGAATAACACTTCTTTACTAGTATGTATAACAAGGCAACCAAACAACCACAACGGCAGCAACAACAAAGAAAACCAGAAACCAAATAACAGCCTTCTCATGGCTGCCAAGCACTTTTCCCTTTGGTGTAGGTATGGTTACAGCTGGCAGGGGCGCTGTTGGCTCCTGGCCAGGTGGGGCAGGTACGAGGATTCTCCCGTGGCTACAGGGGGCACTGTGACACACGGTCAGCCACCTCTCTGCACCTGGGTACTGGCGGGCGAGCTGGCAGAAGAGATAGAAAAGGGGCTTCTTTTACAAACCCCCAGGGGCAGCCGTTCTCAGTGCCCCTCTGGATGGCAGAATGGGCTGTAGCAGGAACCTCTGAGCGGCGGCTGGAACAGCAGAGGCGGGCACGTCCAGGGTAGCAAACAAAATGTAGCAGAAACCCTGCAGCCGTAGCAGCAGCCGCGGGGTGTCCTGGCAGGCACAGGGTGCTGGGTTAAAATGTAGAGAAAAAGTCCAAGACAGCAGCAGAAAACAATGGGGCTGGGCAGCGGCAGCCAGGTGTCTGCAAGCAGCTGTAGCACATAGCCACGAGACGCGCCCTCGGGGAAAGGGGAGGAGTTTGGGGTCCCAGGTTTTTTTCCCCTGAGGCACCCGATTAGATGGTGAAGGTCCTTTCTGCTGCGATCGGATGTTAATAAGGTCCCAGTTCAATGTCCGCTCTTACAATCAAAGGCTCACCCACTGTAAGGAAGAAGCAGTACAGGGGCTGGACTCCACAGTGGCAGCAAATTCTCCCCATGGTAGCAGCAATTTGACCGATCCCCTCCGATCTGAGAGCAAGAGAACGAGCGAGGACCTGAGCCTAGCCCCACACCCCTCAGCCAAAATCTCTGTCCCTTCCCAACAGACACCCCCCCCCCCCCCAGCTAAGAGAGTCGCCAGCTGCACCCCTCCCCCCCACCTTAGCCTCTTCTTTTGTCTCTGAAGTACCAGTCGGGTCGTTATCATCTCTTAGACAACAAATGGGAGAAAATTCCCTGATAGAAAGGAAAATAAAAAAATAAAAAAGGAAAAATCCTAACCTCCAACAACTTTGTAGCAGGATCAGAAGCCTCACCTATGCTATGAGCAGAAGCGCTAGGTAGGATTTATCAATTAGCAGGAGGATGTCTTTGGCCCTTTGCTGCAACAGGGATCCCCAGCTGAAATATGGACCAGGATGATGGTAATATATTAGGGTAATTGGTGATGTATATTTTTTTAATCACTAACTGTAATTTGTAGTAATGATTTGATGCATTGCCTTTCTATGCTTCTTTATTACATGTATGATAAGCAAATAACAGAAATAAGCTACATGGATAGTAAGCAGAAATAAGCGTATCTCTAAATAAGTAGTTTTGTTCTGATCCCTTTGCTAACCACATTCATTAGCAAAACAAAAATGGTGTAGTTGACAGGATTTGAACAAAATGTTTAAATCCAAAAAGAAGAAAGACCAGAAACCCCTGCTTGACATTACAGGAGGGGAAGATATGCCTTATAGTTCAATAGCAAGGGAATGGTCTGTTGCTGTAGGACTATGCGAGTCATGGAATGCAAAATTGGGAGAGGCTGAACCTCTTGATGTGGTTAAATGTTTACAAAAATTGCCTCTTGTAAAAGGGAAAGAAGTTTCGAGCTTAGGTGGAAGGGGATAGATTCTTTTGACTGCTTATCACATACATCAGACCAAACAAATGCTATTGTGTGAACAAAGTATTTTAGAGAAACAAATTTGTGACTTACAAAATAAAACTGTGATGCTACAATGTCAGAATAAGCTGCTTGCTCATAAATAGGGTACTGTTATGTGTAATATGGATAATTTGCGCCTATAGGGTGATATGTATGAAATGTCTTATATTACTAAGAAATATTGGCATAAAGCATAGGAGCCTGAGCTAGGGGGTTGCCTCACATATGTTGAAACTACAGCTGATAAAACTTCATGTCATGGTTTGACACGGGAAGAGAATTTTTTTTTGGAAGGAAGAGGTCAATCCAGTCAGGGGTCAGGTTTGGATACTGACACTTGGGGTGACCAATTGAAGGTGGACACGCCTCTGAGAACACAGAGGGGTTAAAAGCGGAATTCCCAGGAGGACTCGTCCTTCTTTGGTTCCGGTCATTGCAAAGTACAGACCTCCCCCCCCAGCCCGGGCTGGGTGGGGGAGGGGAGCCATGCGGCCTGCAGAAGTAGGCCAGGAGATAAAGGATCAGAACCGAGCTAGGCCAGCTCCTGCGGATGGAAGGGTAGAGAACATCTAGGATGTTTTTGTTCCCCCTCCCCTAAGCTAGAGGGAAAAGAGATAGAGAGCCAGCAGACACCTGGGAGTTTGCCGGCGGAGGAGAAGGAGAAGGGGGGGGAAGACGCCCAGCGTGGGAGATGGGAGACGGAATCCTGGGCTGAGATTTCAGCTGTCCGGGGAGTCCAGGGATTTTAACCCTTTCCTGTAAAATGAAGGCTTTATGAAATATTACTCCTCCTCAATTTGAAGAACAGAGAGACAGCCTGGGACCTCAGATGTTCAAAGAAGAAGGTTGGGGGGAGATGATGGAGTGGCTTTTGGCTAGACTCTGCTTGTTTACCATAGACTGAACCACTCTTTCTTTCAAGAGGGACTGCATTTTAGGGGGATGCACTGGTGAGCCAAGAGACCTTCTTCAGCAACTACCGGTTTTAGAATGGACAGAGAGAGCTGAAGAGGGTGTAAGGATGCCCTCCATCTTCAGAGAAGAAGAGAAGGAGATCTCTGTCCTTAGACCCTCAGCCCCAGGGGAAAATGGGGGGGACTTTAGTCCCGAATTGTGATACTGGACTGTTGTTCCTGGTGGTCCTTGGCAAAGCATCCTTAAAGGGGCCCTATAAGCAGTCTCTGTCTATGCACGGTGGTGAGAGCACTGTAACATGGAGAGGAGAATGTCACACTGGCCGGTGTGTCTGGGCAGTGCCACGTGTGACATTGGAAACACAAGAGGTGGCAGCTGTGTTTCCTGGGGGTCTATGGTGCAAGGGGGACTCCTCTCTTCCCCAATGGACTCAGTATTAATTATATTGAAGGGTAAAAACTTAATTAAGGATCCAAATGGGTCTCGCTGTGGTTTGGTGGAGTTGGGTGGTGGGAGGAGGAATGTTTTAGAAGGTTTTCATTTCGAATTTTGTGTGGTTTTTTTTCTTTCCTTTCCATTCCTTTTATAGTAGTAATAGTAGTAGTAGTGTAATAAAGTTTTTCCTTTGTTATTAAGTTTGGCCGGCTTTACTCTGTTCTTAATCACATTTCACAGCATTTAATTAGTAGGTTGTATTTTCATAGGGCGCTGGCATTGTGCCAGCGTCAAACCATAACACTTCATTTACAAGTTAATACACGTAGCTCATCTGGAGATGGGTTGTTTCTCAAGGTGATATAGGAACTCCCAGGTCTCATGAACAAAAGAGCCTTCCTGGTTCCCATGGCAATACTAAGACACTGCTGGCTCTAGCTGAGTACTGATATTGAAATGTTAATTAGCTAATTGCTCTGTTT